TATGCTTTATACACCATAAAGTTTTTGCCCATTCAGTATGATACTGGCTGTGGGTTTGTTGTAAATAGCTTTTATTTTTATTGAGATATGTTTCGTTGATATCTAGTTTATTGAGAGTTTTTAGCATAATGGGCTGTTGAAGTGGAATTTTGTTGAAGGCTTTCTCTGCATCAATTGAGTTAATCATGTGGTTTTTGTCTTTGGTTCTGTTTATGTGGTGAATTATGTTTATAGACTTGTGTATGTTGAACCAGCCTTGCATCCCCAGGATGTAGCCTACTTGATCGTGTTGGATAAGCTTTTTGATGTGCTATTGCAATTGGTTTGCCAGTATTTTATTGAAGATTTTTGCATCTGTGTTCATCATGGATATTGGCCTGAAGTTTTCTTTTCTTATTGCATCACTGCCGAGTTTTAGTATCAGGATGATGCTGGTCTCATAAAATGATTTGGGGAGGATTCCCTCTTTTTGTATTGTTTGGAATAGTTTCAGAAGGAGAGGTACCAGTTCCTCTTTGTATGTCTGGTAGAATTTAGCTGTGAACCCATCTGAACCTGGGCTTTATTTGGTTGGTAAGCTATTAATTGCTGCCTCAACTTCAGCCCTTGTTATTTGCCTATTCAGAGTTTCGATTTCTTCCTGGTTTAGGCTGGGAGGATGTAAATGTCCAGGAATTTATCCATTTCTTCCAGATTTATTGGTTTATGTGCATTGAGTTGTTTGTAGTAATCTCTGATGGTAGTTTGTTTTCCGAGGAATCAGTATTGATCTCCCCTTTATCGTTTTTTATTGCTTCTATTCAATTATTCTCTTTTCTTTTTTATTAATCTAGCTAGCGGTCTGTCTGTTTTGTTGATCTTTTTAAAAAACCAGCTCCTGGATTTATTGATTTTTTTTGAAGGTTTTTTTTGTGTCTCTATCTCCTTCAGTTCTGCTCTGATCTTAGTTATTTCTTGTCTTTTGCTAGCTTTTGAGTTTTTTTTTTTTTAATCTTGCTCCTCTAGCTCTTTCAATTCTGATGATAGGGTGTCGAATTTAGATCTTTCCTTGCTTCTCATGTGGGCATTTATTGCTATAAATTTTCCTCTAGACACTGCTTTAAATGTGTCCCAGAGATTCTGGTATATTGTGTCTTTGTTCTCGTTGGTTTCGAAGAACATCTTTATGTCTGCCTTCATTTCGTTGTTTATCCAGTCAACATTCAAGAGCCAGTTGTTCAGTTTCCATGAAGTTGTATGGTTCTGAGTGAGTTTCTGAATTCTTAGTTCTAATTTGATTGCACTGTGGTCTGAGAGACTGTTTGTTATGATTTCTGTTCTTTTGCATTTGCTGAGGAGTGATTTACTTCCAATTATGTGGTCAGTTTTAGAGTAGGTGTGATGTGGTGCTGAGAATTATGTATATTCTGTGGATTTGGGGTGGATAGTTCTGTAAATGCCTATTAGGTTTGCTTGGTCCAGGTCTGAGTTCAGGTCCCGGATATCCTTATTAATTTTCTGTCTCATTGATCTGTCTAATATTGACAGTGAAGTGTTAAAGTCTTCCACTATTATTATGTGCAAGTTAAGTTTCTTTGTAGGTTATTAAGAACTTGCTTTATATATCTGGGTGCTCCTGTATTGGGTGTGTATATATTTAGGATCGTTAGCTCTTCTTGTTGCATTGATCATTTTATCATTATGTAATGCCTTTCTTTGTCTCTTTTGATCTTTGTTGGTTTAAAGTCTATTTTATCAGAGACTAGGATTGCAACTCTTGCTTTTTTTTGCTCCCCATTTGCTTGGTAGATCTTCCTCCATCCCTTTAGTTTAAGCCTGTCTGTATCCTTGCATTTGAGATGGGTTTCCTGGATACAGCACACCAATGGGTTTTGACTTTTTATCCAAAATGCCAGTGTGTGTCTTTTGATTGGGGCATTTAGCCCATTGACATTTAAGGTTAATGTTGTTATGTCTCAATTTGCTCTGCCATTTTGAAGCTAGCTGGTTGTTTCATGCATTAGTTGATGTAGTTTCTTCATTGTGTCAATGCTGTTTACCATTTGCTACGTTTTTGGATTGGCTGATAGTGGTTGTTCCTTTCTATGTTTAGTGCTTCTTTCAGGAGATCTTGTAAGGCAGGCCTGGTGGTGATGAAATCTCTGAGCACTTGCTTGTTCATAAGGGATTTTATTTCTCCTTTGTTTATGAAGCTTAGTTTCGTTGGATATGAAATTCTAGGTTGAAAGTCCTTTTCTTAAGGATGTTGAATATTGGCACCCACTCTCTTCTGGCTTGTAGGGTTTCTGCCGAGTCATCCGCTGTGAGTCTGATGGGCTTCCCTTTGTGGGTAACCCAACCTTTCTCTCTGGCTGCCCTTAGCATTTTTCCCTTCATTTCAACCCTGGTGAATCTGATGATTATGTGCCTTGGGGTTGCTTTTCTTGAGGAATATCCTTGCAGTGTTCTCTCTATTTCCTGGACTTGAATGTTGGCCTGCCTTGCTAGGTTGGGGAAGCTCTCCTGGTTGATATCCTGAAGAGTGTTTTCCAGCTTGAATTCATTCTCTCTGTCACGTTCAGATACACCTATCAAACATAGATTAGGTCTTTTCACATAATCCCATATTTCTTGGAGACGTTGTTCATTTCTTTTTATTCTTTTTTGTCTAATCTTGCCTTCTCGTTTTATTTAATTGAGTTGATCTTCAATCTCTGATATCCTTTCTTCTGCTTGGTCAATTCGGCTGTTGAAACTTGTGTATACTTTGCAAAGTTCTCATGTTGTGTTTTTCAGCTCCATCAGTTCATTTGTATTCCTCTCTAAGCTGTTTATTCTCGTTAGCATTTCGTCAAACCTTTTTTCAAGGTTCTTAGTTTCTTTGCATTGGGTTAGAACATGATCTGTTAGAGAAGTTTGTTATTACCCACTTTCTGAAGCCCGTTTCTGACCATTCATCAGACTCATTCTCTATCCAGCTTTGTTCCCTTGCTGATGAGGAGTTGTAATCCCTTGGAGGAAGAGAGGCATTCTGGTTTGGGGTATTTTCATCCTTTTTGCACTGGTTTCTTCCCATCTTTTGGATTTATCTACGTGTGGTCTTTGTGGTTGATGGCTTTCAGATGGGGTCTCTGAGTGGACATAGTTTTTGTTGCTTATGAAGTTATTTTTTTCTGTTTCTTAGTCTTCCTTCTAACAGTTTGGCCCCTCTACTGTAGGACTGCTGGAGGTCCACTCCAGACCCTGCTTGCCTCGGGATCACCTGCAGTGGCCATAGAACAGTAAGGGTTGCTGCCAGTTCCTTCTTCTGTTATCTTTGTCCCAGAAGGATACCTTCCAGATGTCAGCCTCAGCTCTCCTTTATAAGGTGTCTCTTTGGATATACGGGGATTGGGGAGCTGCTTGAGGAGACAGTCTGTCCCTTATAGGAGCTCAAGTGCTGAGCTGTGAGCTCCATTGTTCTGTTCAGAGATGCTGGGCAGGTAGGTTTAAGTCTGCTGCAGTGGAACTCATAACCTCCTTTTTTTCCCAGGTGCTCTGTCCTGGTAGGTGGGGCTTTATTTATAAGTTCCTGTCATTCTGCTGCCTTTTTTCAGAGGTGCCCTCCCCAGCAAGGAGGTAGCCTAGTCACAGTCTGCCAGCAGAGGCATTGCTGATCTGCCGTGGGCTCTGCCCAGCTGCTGTGTGAACTTCCTTGTAGTTTTGTTTATAGGGGTGTAGTTAGAACTGCCTCGGTAATGGCAGACTGCCTCAGTAATGGCGGACTGCCTCGGTAATGGTGGACTGCCTTAGTAATGGTGGACTGCCTCAGTAGTGGCAGACTGCCTCAGTAGTCGGGGACTGCCTGGGTAATAGTGGACGCCCTAACCCCCAAAGAGCTGGACCGTCCTGGGTCCAGCTGTGCTTGCTGAAACTGTCAATCCAGAGCATTTCAGATTGCTGGTCTTTGTCAGGACCAGACAAGCCAGATCACCTGGCTCTCTGTTTCAGCCCCCTTTTTTTCAGTTGAACGGGTGACTGTCTCCCAGGTATTCCAGTCGCCAGTTGAAATGGTGCCTGGATTTGTGTGAGTTTTTGTGCAGAGACCCGCTGCACTGGCTGAAACAGCCATGCTGGAGACTTGTAGCGCTTTTCCACCCGGGAATCTCCTGGTCTGTGGGCAGTAAAAATTCTTTTGGAAATGCGGTGATCACTCACCCTCTGCATTTTTGCTGGGAACTGCAATCTAGAGCTGTTCCTATTCAGCCGTCTTGGATCCTCCCCCACCCCCCAACAAACAATAACTTTTACATTTTTTCCTTTACATAGTTGATTTGATGATATGGGCTTGTAGCTTGTTTTCTGGATGTTATAAAGCATTATTTGAGTAATAAGCTGGTAAAGCGTTCACCTCAGCAGAAACTTTGGTATTGGTAATTTATTATACAAAGGAAGGAAGTAGGGCATAAAGCAATTTGTCAAGCTTAAAGTGCATTTCCTAGTACCATGCACTCTGAGTAACAAACAAAAAAGAAGGAGCAGCAGCATTTATTAATCAACATCAACTTGAATGTGGTCATTGATTTTTTTTTTCCTAATGTGTTCTCAGATTGGTGCTCTCCTCTGTCTCAGACTATTTTGCTGCCATGTTTACTAATGATGTCAGAGAAGCGAGACAAGAAGAAATAAAAATGGAAGGTGTAGAACCGAATTCATTGTGGTCCTTGATCCAGTATGCTTATACAGGTAACAAGTCTGAAAATGTAAATTAAAACCTCTTAGATTGATGTTGTATTGTTAGATTTTGGATTTCTGTCTTTGGAAAGCATGCCATCGCTAACAGTTAATTCTTCTATTGTCATCACTACCTATTGTATTTAACCTGGTAATAAATTAAAATCTCCACATTACAACCTTTAAAATGGTTATTATAATTAAGCTTTTGAATGTCCCTTTACAATGCTAACATAAAAATTAATGAATTATGTAGTGTCAAATTTTTGCATTTAAAATTTGAGAGTTGGCTAGGTATAGTGTCTTACCCTTGTGAATCGCAGCACTTCGGGAAGCCGAGGTGGGATGGATGATTGCTTGAGTTCAGATCGCTTGAGCCGAGGTGGGATGGATGATGCTGCAGTGAGCCATTGGTTACACCACAGCACTCCGGCCTGGGCAATAGAACAAGACCCTGTCTCAAAAAAAAAAAAAAAAAAAAAAATTGAGAGTTATACAGGTATATTGTAGATGTAAGTTACTAACTAATGCATAATTTTAAAATTCTGAAAATAGGCCAGGTGTGGTGGCTCACGCCTGTAATCCCAACACTTTGGGATCACGAGGTCAGGAGTTCAAGACCAGTCTAGCCAATATGGTGAAACCCCAGCTGTACTGAAAATATAAAAATTAGCTGGGCGTGGTAGTGCATACCTGTAATCCCAGCTACTCGGGAGGCTGAGGCAGGAGAATCGCTTGAACCCAGGAAGTGGAAATTACAGTGAGCTGAGACTGTGCCACTGTACTCTAGCCTGGGCAACAGAGCAAGACTCCATCTCAAAAAAAAAAAAATTCTGAAAATAAGCCATTAGTTTTTATTTTAGTAGATATCTCAAACAGCTAATAATTTTTTCCACAGTTAGGCCTTTTCTTTTTGGAATGTCTTAAATCATGTAGGTCTGTAATATATGTATTAAGTTCTTATATGAAACCGCTACTGTTAACATCAGTTATTTTATAAAATAAGGTTAATGTAGTTCCATAGCTAATGGGATTTCTTTTTATCATTAAGGCCGCCTTGAATTAAAAGAAGATAATATTGAGTCCCTGTTATCTACAGCTTGCCTTCTTCAGCTTTCGCAGGTTGTAGAAGCATGCTGTAAGTTTTTAATGAAACAACTTCATCCATCCAACTGTCTTGGAATTCGTTCTTTTGCTGATGCTCAAGGTTGTACAGATTTGCATAAAGTGGCTCACAATTATACTATGGTATGTATTTTTTGAAAGTGAGAAGGCCTATCCTGCATATGCATATTTCTTATTGTTGCAGGCTTATCTACATGTTGCTGTTTTCCCATGGCTCTGCCACGTGTCTTGAGACTGAGCCTCATTGCCTAGTGTGTCATATTTTCATTGAGTTATAATGGAAAAGCACCAAGTAATACTTCTCCTGGGCATATGAATCAAGCCCTAAGTTATTACAGTCACTGGGAAGCAGAACAGTGGCCTAGGACTATTTCATTAAGATTTTCAGATTTGCTGCATTTTAAAACAGGACTCTTCCCAAACATTTTACTTTGCTCCACATGGATGAAATTCTTGAGGATTGTTCACATATTCATTGATAGAAATTGGTGACAGAGGTTGCAACATATTGGTAGAGGACAAATGAGAGGCTTTTTATTAAGGATAAATCTGACTATGTATAAACCATTTACAGCCATGTAGAATGATGTTTTTATTCATTATAGCAAATTTTATGCTCAATAAATCATAGAGGAGGTTCCAATTTAGTAACCTGAAGGATAATAAAATGAAATAATATGTACCACCAACCCCCATGACACAAGTGTATCTGTATAACAAACCTTCACATATACCCCTGAATAAAAGTTAAAAAATGGATGGACCTAGGATAGGAAGAAAATAAGGGCATGTTGAGCACATAGGGTTAGAACCAGCCTCTGTGGTCTTAACAGTAGAGGGGTACAGGCAAGGGAGCGTATGTGGATTTTTAAGGAATGATCATGTTACCACGTTAGTTCTTCACACCTGGGCAATGACTGAAGACTGTTGCTTTAAATGCTTCAGTTTAGGGCAATACAGTTTCTAAGAGAAGGAAAAATGTAAACATTCACATACATGTATATAGTTATGGATATCACTAGTTTTGTCAACATTTAGAAAATGTATTTTGCCTACCCTCTCCTCCATCGTTCCATTGAGAGATTGAGAATGCTTTAGGAATCTTTCATTAGAGAAATAGATATTTGGAAAAATTCTAAGAATAGGTATTTACAAACTATTGGGAAGATCACTTCTGTCTACTTCATGAGTTTTGTGTGAGGATTAGATGTTCTGATTAACACTCAGAACATTGATTGGCATGTCATATATCCAGTCAATGAGTCTCATTCCATTGTTGTCATCATCATTATATAGATTTCCTCTATCCAACACAGTAAGAATTTATGGGAGGGAACAAAAGCACTCACAAAACCACAGCCTTTATGACTGGTTTTCCTCCCTATGGTGTAATCATTTCTCAGGAATGTTTCTTGTTTATGATAGTCACAGAGCCTCAACTGGTAAAATAAGAGATTGTACAGCAGGACAATAATATATAGCCCTAGCATGCTATTAGGTTGACATTTAAAAAATTAAGTCCATTGAAATTTTTTTTTCCCTTAGTCTTTATCATTCTTTATAGATTCTCATTTTAACCATACACCTGCAATTTCAACTACTTTTTTGAATGAGATGAATATAAATAAAGTTAGATTTTTTTCTTTATAATCAGTTTATAATTTGAATAATTATCTTTTTTCTGGGAAGGAGTTTTATTCAGGTGAAACCATTTGTATGCATTTAGGTCACTCCTGTTGTTTACAGTAAAGGCATGATTGCTGCTTTAACGCTTACACAGAAATAAAATTTAAATTAGCTGGATGTTTTTAAAGCTATTTTCATAGTCAATTAGTTGTGGTAGATTTTTTTTCTCAAGGCTATTATTTAACATTATTCAGTTTCAACAGAGACATGAAATTGAATTCTAATAACAATAAGTAATTTAGAGGCAGATTACCTGATTTGAATTGTTGCTATGGGAACCAAATGAAAATGTATAGCAAAATTCAATCTTCAATTTAAATAAATCTCTTCATAATTTCATTTGCTTAAAAACTATTCTAAAAGGGGAAAGAGCACAATGCTAGCAAGTGTTTGGTAGCATGATAGTTTTGTGTATTATAATATGGATTTAAAATACAAAGCATAATGCCATGCCAGTGATTTCAATCAGTGAATGGTGCGTGGACTGGGGATGTTCACTGATCCTGTGTGAATGCAAGTCATAAAGGATAAGGAGTCCTCCCCATGATCCATGAATGTAGAAACCTGTTTTCTCATTCTGCCTGCCACTGAACATGACCTGGAGCAAGTCATTTAGCCTCTAAAAGAGTCTTAAGACTGCTTGTATCATTACAACTATTTAATGTCATTTTGAATTTATGACACAAACATAAACATTTAATTTTAAAACTTAAAATTGTCTTTCTCAATCTAGAAGACTTATAAAAAACATTGAAATCTGCGAAAGTAGCTGCTTCAAAACCAAATTAATACTTTTGAAAAGTACTTTGTGTTTAACCTTGAGTTCAGTAGTATTTCATAAGTTGTTAAAAAACTCAATTTTCACTTAATATAAATTATACTAGAATGGAATGGACATTATTCTGAAATAGATATATCAACAAATAATTTGTTAAGTGAATATTTACGTGATAGTCCTTCTGTTACTGATGAAATGCAATTAATGGCATTTGAAAGTACAGCATAGTTATACCAATGTATAAATCTGTCAATTATACTATATATGTTTAAGGAATTGGAAATATATATTATTATTTCAATTTCTTCAGAAACTCACTTAACATTTTATCATAAGTATCTTTCCATGTATGTAGCTACATGAACTTTGCCTTTGAAATTTTTAATGCCTATTTAATATATAGCTCCCTATACTGACCACGTAGGCTATTTCCCATTTTTTTCCATTATAAATAATAATACAGAGAATCACTGTTAGGTATTTAGCTTTTTTGCTTATGAATTATTTATTAAGGTTTAAACTACAAGTGGGATAACTAGGTTGAGAGTTTCAGCATTTTTGTAGCTCTTGCTATGTGTTACCAAAATTATGTCAGTATGCAATTTAGTAGAACCTTTTGCTTCAATCCTGGAAGTTTTATTAAAATATGTTTCTGAAAATGATAATCTATCATTTAAAATAGACTCATTTGGACATCCTTGAACAAATCATGATAAATTGAAGCAATTGAACTTCGTTAATTATTCATGAATGGTTTTCCCCTTTTGAACTTCTACTGATAGGAATGTCAAGCTAACATATATTTTAGATCAGTACCTCACTCAGGTTACCACAGGCTATATGGAAAATATAATTTTTATTTTAATATAGAAGATAGTTATTGATAGTCCCTATCTCTAGCTCTGATTTAAACAGCCTTAGCTTCCTTCTTTAGTAAACCTCTGCATGCTGAGACAGCAATAATACATCAGAAGTATGAAAAAAACATTAAGGGACAATATGTGTCTAGCATTTGCACTTATAACTCTGTAAACTATCCATTCATTAAGACGTTATAACCTTTCAAATCAGATGGTTTTCCTTCTCCTCAGATTAGTTAGCATAATAGCCTATCAGGGTCATCTCACACCTAACGGCATTTTTATTTCCCTTTTCAAATTATAGAGGATTTGATTCCAATGTGAGGCCAGGACTGAGTCATCTTCAGTCTGATGCCCTGATGCCAGGGCATTATAGGTCACTATTTTTATTTTCCCTTTGGTCCTTTTTCCTATGAGATCAAAAGAACTTTGTAAATAAATTATATTAGAAGAGATTAAACATTTAAAAACAGACCCTTAGAAGAGATTAAAAATTTGAAAACAGACCGAAAATCCTAGATGGTCTTATAAATAACATTAAAATGACCTTAAAGACGAATTTGGTTGTAGTATAGCCCTAAGGACAGATACTGCTTCCAGGGAGGATCTGAGAAGACTTTTGTGGTCTAGAATGGTTCTGGGAATTCTAGCCATCCTGGAGGCCATTTCTGAGTAAGATAAGTAACTAAGCTCTCTAGGTATTTGGCTCCACCACTGGCCAAATTCTTCAGCACCCACAAATCCAGCCACTTGTAGTGTCAGAGTATCATACCTCTCAGTGTCTAATTCATTTTTTCTCTCTTCCTTCAAAAGAATTGCCAGAAGTATTTCCTAACTTGAGTGAAGCAATATACTTCAGTGTCCCAGGTCCATTTTTTAAATGTAATAAATGATACTTTATTACATTTAATTTTTTAAGCACTTTAATTCTACTTATATATGTTTAACAACATAATTGCAGTTTAATTATTTTTCTCTGCTGTGTTTGTTTCCTAACAGATAGTA